TCTCTCTCTCTCTCTCTCTCTCTCTCTCTCTCTCGTTCTTTTTTTCCCTTTAAACTTGCTTTCAAGGAAATGTTTTCCTTCTGAAATTTTTTTTACTGTCAGAATAAGAAAGCGAGATGCATATTCCAGAAAGTGATAAATCATGCACAAGATTTATCCACAGAAAAACTGTTCATTGTGCCGCAACATTTTAGATCAGTTTATAAAAATGGCTTTTGTGAACTTCTCTAATCCACAACACATAGAAGCATTTTAGTAGTAAAGATGCAGAGTATGCAATACCAAACAATACTCCTAGTTCCATCCATTTTACAAAATACATGCATCTCCATAGACCATCCAATCATTAATTAAGTGTCTACCAGCATAGTAATCAAGGAATCTCATTCATGGTATTGCTCAAATTTTTCAAGAAAATTGATAACTTTTTTCATTTCATGAAAACAAGATAAGTTAATTCTCTCTAATCTGCATAGAGAATGGAATTCCTGCACAATTGTTAATGCCACAGTGTAGTGCAAAGTCCAAGCCGAGGGACTGGTTTTTGTTCACAGGAAATCTCATCCGAGAAGGTATCGATGAGCTGCCCAGCCAGGCTTGGAGGGTCATCAATCAAAGTGTCTATGAAGGCACTTACCACACGTCTCTCTTGCAGTGTTGCTTTCAAGCTAAACCAGGTAAGAAACTTCACTCTAAAATCTGCATTTAAATGCCCTTCATGCTCTAACCACCTGATTACTCCCACAGAGTTCTCATAATCAGTGCCTTTCAATTGCTTCTTGGAACTCATGAATGACAGTTCCTTTTTTCCGTCATATTTACATGGTGTGGGAGGAGGATTTGAAGTGGGACTCACTAAAAGAACATCCTTCATGGAATGAGAGAATGTGAGATTAGAATATTCAGAATACATCTGTGGATAGGAATTGGCTATTAAAGCATTTTCTTTCTTTTCTTGTTCTTCATCTGACTTTGACACTGTGCTTCTCCTTAATGCAGGTGTCACCCATTTAGCTTCCAAAGCACCCAGAGTACTATTTTTGCTAAAGAACAATACCTTGCAGAAATACTCCGTTGACGGATCAAGACCAGTCAGTTTGAATCTAGTCTCTGGCCTCAGTACAATGTAAGTTGCTTCTTCAGGATAATCCTTAATGGTAGATTTTTGATGCCAGAGCCTGCAGCCTAAGATTTCCTTTAACAGACAATCTTCATATTCTAAGAGAATAATTACTGTTGTTGGAGATAATTCCTCAAACCGAATCCGACAAGCTGTCATAGTAACTGTGAATAAAGACCACGATGAAACAAGTAGGTTGTTAGGACTTAAAATCTTATTGTTTGATGCAGAATAAGATTTCCATGACATAAGAAGCATCTCACTTTCTTTTGATGGCACTTTCCAAGGATTTGATTTTAGAAATTTAAACGATGACATTTAGGATTCCAAGAACCAAGCAAAAAAGAAAAAGAAAACAACAGGGGACTTACTTGGTGGCTCTTTCTGATTTAGATGGTCAAAGAATTTGTAGGATATGGAGTCAAAAGCTTCCACTGCTGAAGAGCACAACTGTTGAACCTCAGTACCACAATAGAGCCTCTTGACAATGCCAGAGTCCTTCTTCGGGGATGGCCCATCAAGAGGCCCCACTTCATTCTCAAGTTTCTTCACAGCGGACTCCACTATCTTTAGCAGCTCCTTATATTGCTCAGTTCCTTCCAGAATTTTATGGCTCAGAGAGACTCTTAAACACAGTGCATCAACTCTTCTGGCCTCCTTGGCAACTACCAGTTGTTTCTTCCAGGTTCTGAAGGCATTCAATATTATACTAGTAAAATTCTTGTCCTGAGATGTTGTTCCAGATGAACTTAATAGTAAATTCAGCAAAGTGAGCACTGAGCAGTGGCATAATAGTTCTAGTATCTAAAAGGTTGTCCTTGGTCAGGGTCATGTCAGTTAAGCATTGTACTCATTGCCAAGGATCAAAATTTTATTTTGAAACGTTTCCGTTTTCAAGGAGACCAAAATGAATCAGTGATTGAATCGAAAATCAAATGATTCAAGGTGTTTCAACATGTTTTGAGATGTTTTCACAAATGTTTTAGAATGTTTCGAAGTGTTCACGATGTTTCGCATATTTTGACCAATTTACATAATGTTTTAGAAATAAATTCCCAAATTTTTTATCTGTTTTCATTCTATTTTCGAAACATTTTTTTTTCCTAAGTAACCGAAACAATGTACCGGAACAAAATTTTGATCACTGCGTTATTGCTTTGTAAACCTGTTATAATTTTGAATTACTTATCCAATGGAAAATCTGGCTCATTATTTGCACATATTACAGATTCTGCATCTATAGTTTCTTTATATGGTGGGTTAGGTAGGCTGATTCCTCACCACTTACACAACAAAACATTGAAATTATTTCGACAAAGAAGCAAAGCAGACAGAGAACTATTGAAATTCAGCTTGTACTGGTCAGAAAACTTGTGCATGCACACACAATCAATGAATAACAGCTGGGTGTTTGGACTTCCACATGTTCATTGTCTTGGAGTGGCCAGACCCACCGAGTGTGGGAATGGTTGGTTTGAAGTGGAGGAAGGGGTGTGGCAGTGTGTGTGTGTGTGTGTGAACATATGAGATACTCCATGTGTAGAAAATGGGATTGTTACCTCATTAGTCCATTAATTTTTCCGCAAAAAACACAATAGAAACCGCCATCCAACTTCGTGCAGCGGTCATTCTTTAATACTCCAGCTCGTTTATGCTCTAGGGCACATTTCAGATGACACGACATTCCACAAGAGTCACCTTCTTTGGGATGATCCGAATCACAAATTAGCCATAGACTAGGATCCTTGTTATCATCATACTGATGACAGATACAGCAAGAACATCGCTTGCAAAAAACATCTCCTGGACTCAGGGTAGCTCTGCAGGCTAGATTTTGACAGAGTAGGATGTTGGCTGCTTCTTTCACTGTCTGCCAGGAAGTATGATCAATTTGAATGGGTTGTCGTAGCAAGTGCTCTTGCCAGCTTTGCCTTTCAAAGCATGCTTCAGTTTTGGTTGGAGAAAAAACAAGAGGTTTGTCAATATTTTTCTTCTTGGACCTATTACAAACTAATTTTAAAAGGTGTTCAATCATTCTAAACTTTGTAAATCCACTGTACTTCCTCTCTTTGCCCATTTCAGCACATATGATATCAAGAAGCTCTCTGCGAGACAAGGAACTCAGAACCTTGGGGGCATCTTCTGGCCATTTAGCAATTTCATGAACTAGTTGTCTTTTCTCTCCCATGCCCAGTTGACTAAATTTTGCAGGGTCTAATACAAAACCTGAGAAATGAAGAATACACTGATTGATGCTCAACTTCAGGATTCCATAGCACGTACAGGCGAAGTAAAACATGATTGCCAGAATTAGTCTATCAGATTTATATATTTGGAAACTCTTCCATTCATAATTATTTAAATGAATATTGAAACTACTCTGTCAATGAAATAAAATTACACAGATCGGGCCAAACATAACATGTGCAATACTCAAATGTACAATACAAAAATATGGATGGAGTCACTAAACTAGTTCTGTGATAATTCCTTTATCTGCACAGTAGTAAGAAGAGATTAGCTTTAAGCTCATCGATATTTAACAACATTAGTGCTTGGCTGCAGGCAGATTCGGATTAGATGCATGTAAGGATTTCCTATTAAAGCATCAATATTTGTTTGACCTTTGGATGCTAAATGTGTATACGAGTATACTAAATCCAAATCTGACACCGAGTTCTTACTTGGACAAACATCACTGTTCCAGTAACAAATTAAAGTTGACACAAGCACATTCTGACTTTTGAAATCCTGTGTGACTTTTGAATTTCTTTGGTGCTTACTAATCTGAATCTTGCAGCAGGTTCTTACTTTGGCAAACATCAATGTTCCAATAACAAACTTATGTTGACACAAGCACGTTCTGTCTTTTGAATTTCTGTATCAATGTGTATGCAAGCTTGTGTATGTAGGTGTTTTAAAAAGTCAAAGCATCATCCGTGGATTGAAAATTTCGATGGAACACGGGTTTTTCATGTATTGTCACCAGTAGCATTTTGTCACCTTCAATTTCACTGTGATGACTTTCCCCAATTTGTTATAAAGCTGGCTGCAAGTCTCTTCTGCCTATCTGCCATCTCAAAGTCGTATCTCTACTAGCTTGAACCCCATCATATCTTTCTTTTAAATGGTCAATTTCTTCTTCGACCATTCCCTACCCCTGTATCTCTAACATCCCATCCCATCCCATGGCACCCCTCATCCTTGTGGCCCAATCATGTGGGTACAGTACATATTCTTCTCAGTTCACACTGAGAAGTGAGAACATAAGTTTGTAGCCTAAGAAATGATAAACCATTCCTAGTCCCATCACTCAACTACACAAGCATCCTTGTCTCTAGCATACCTAATTAAATATAGAACATATTGCTTCTTCAGTGCTAACCATTCTGCTTCACCAAATGAAGATTACACCCTATCCTTATATGCCTGTCAGAATCTGCGTACCACATTTCCATTATACTATACAAACTATGTTGAATTTGAAGAAAAAGGTAAATAAATCGGTCCACCATACTACCTATGATGACAATCTGTTTCATAAGACCATAGAATATCAGTTGCACCTATAACTAGCTAGCATACTGTTCAGTTAGAAAAGCAATAATTTTTTTATGAACTTCATAAGAGTTCAATTCCAGTAATTTGAAGGAAATATCTTTGCCAACAAAGTTGAATACAACTTCGTAGTCCCCAAAAATCTATCCTCTTACACACGGCAATTGCTTATGATTTCCAGCACTACAATATCAAACAAATAGTTTTCAAAAGAAATCAACTACAAAATAACCGCGACAAAAATTAATTCAGCACAAGCATAAAAGTTTAATGATACTTCATTAGTGTTTGGTAATATAAACATTAACTGAAAGGCATAAAGGACAGAGGACTCTTTCTTAATTGGTTTATTTGTTTTTGTGAACTTGTATTAGTGTTTCTAACAAAGATAGAGAGGTTAAAGATGTACCAAAACCAAAGGGCAAACGAAATTGCATCGACATCTTTTGAGGTTCACAATTTCCTTTTCTCCTTTGGTGCTAGAGGTTCAAAATTTCCAGAAGAATTATTTCAGGACAAAATGAGACGCATATAATATAAGAGCAATGTTATGCTTACTAAATTATTTGCCAAATTTTGTATCTCAAATCAGGCTAGGTGGTTGGACCATTGGGGTCCACTAACTTCCACTAAACATTCAATGGACAGTATTTTGACAAATCATTTGGAATACAACATTTGGTAAAAAAAATTGGGAAGCATAGTTTTATCCATAATATAATGCTAGGCTTTTGTCTTAAGAGGATACTGAGTGAAACTCAAAAAAAGCCTCTACTTGTTTTGAAAAATAGGTCCTTGAAAGTTTCTTCCAAATGAAAATGAGTGTATTATAATTCTAAGCATTGAAAAGAAGTATATTACAATTCCAAAATGACTAAACAGAACTCAACAATTGCACCCAAAAAGCCCAGGCTAAAAGTGCATAAACTTAAATAGAGTCTCAGAGGAAAAAATATTTTATACACTTTTCCAAAAAAAAACAACAAAACAATAAGAAAAACAATGCTAACCCATTACCACCAAACCTGCATTGTCATGAACAAAGCCATAAACACAACAAAATTTGAAAAAAAAAAAATTAAAAAAATGCAGACTTTAAAGAAAACCCAAAAGTAATTAACCTTAATCTGACGCATGCATTGGCAAAGAAAACAGTATTACATTGAACAATAGAGTCTCTAAAAGCAACTTCTTTTCTAGAATAAAAAACCCACAATGAAAGAAGATTGAAACTGACCAGAGAACAAAGAGTCCATACCACATAAGCTACTACTCTTACCCTCCGGTTTTCTCATAACTTCTTTTCTAGAACAAAAAACCCACAATGAAAGAAGATTGAAGCTGACCTGAGAACAAAGAGTCCATAACACATAAGCGACTACCCTTACCCTCCGGTTTTCTCATACTATGAACGACAAAAACACTTTTTTTTGTATTAAATTATATGAGAATATAATATAAGGATGGCACAATGGAGATAAAAAAAGAAGAACTTCATGAAACAAAACAAGCTCAGAATTTGCAGAAAGAGGAAAGGTGTGTGCTTGAGTTGTGGATGAGAGATAAAAGAGAGGAGAGAGAGAGAGAGAGGGGTGACGCAGAAATCTAAAAAGTCGGCATTGAAGGCGTTACTATAATAATGAAGAAAAATAGTATTTGTTGCTATGACTGTCAGACTTTGGTTGATTTCAGAATCGGAAACGAAACGAAACGAATCGAATCGAGAAGGCTATACCATAAACCAACTGCTGTATTGGTACGCGCTTGTTGCGTCACTGTGGTCAAATCAAAGATCTTGGGTAGGATGGAGTGTAGCAGAGCCCATCCCCCAGCCTCGGCGAGGGTGTAAACTTGTAGCTAGTATTTGTTAAATATTAATTAAATTAAGTTGTTCGGATTGGAACAAAATTTTGAATTGAAATTTGAATTGTTAGTGTATTTGAATATGGATCAGGAAAATTGATGATGCAAAATATGGTTTTATCCAAGATCAATAATTGAGAGTGTGATAAAATATAATTAATAAATAATTAATAAAGTAATCAATGGTAATAATATAAATATCGGGTCAACACGCAAATATATAATAGTTCGGTCCGAGTGACCTACTCCACTCCGAAAAAAGACAACGATAACCAAGGAACCTTTTATTAATTAAGTAAAGTGAACGAGAAGGAGCAATGATTAACCCTATGAGGTATACAATAGTTAGGAGAGAGAAAGTTATGTGTAGGGCGTGTAGAGATGTGTCCTCTCATGTAGAAGAATCTTATAATTTATTGGCACAGAGTTTTAGTTGAGACGGTGAGGTGAGGGTAAATGTATTAGATCTTCGAAAAACTACAAAGGTAAGTACAATTAAAGGTTATTTTGATTTTCGAGAGTGAATATTTCGATAATTGCTTCCCACGTGCTCTAATTTTTCTAGACTCCTTGAACTATGGGCTGGACCGAATCTATTAATTAGGCTTGACCCACCTTGTAGCTGGTTTGGGCCTAGCTCATTAATTGGGTTTGACTAGGGATGTCAGTGAACTGAAGCAGGGGGCGGGGACTGTAGTCTTCATTCCCGTACCCGCTTAAAAAAACTCTATCCATCCCCGGTCCACCCCGTTAACGGGTATAATTTTCATCTCCATCCTCGTCCACGGATAAATTTTTAATCCCCGCCCCCGCCTCCGCTTTCCCATACCCGCTTAAGCTCAAGCCCAAGCCCAAGCCCAAGTAACATAATCCAACAACATTCTAAATAATCTAGATTACAAAATATAAAAGTCAAAACAATATAGTATTCTGTTTAAAGTGTCATTGGACCACAAAAAGAGAAACATAACTATTAGAGAAAAAGGAAGAAAAGAAAAATAAAATTGAACTAAGAAAACGATAGCACTACACTTGAAGTTTGCTAGAAGAATTTTTACTATTACAATTCATATTACAGCCATAAAGTATTAAAAGATGAAAACTTAAAATTTTGCTAATTCAATAATTCTTTCAATTTCTTAGTTCACTCTAACAGAGAAACTCATCAACCTCCATTCACAATATTTCTATCCACAATGAAATGCAAAACTATCTTACTCTCTCTTATCTGTTTTTAGAGCATGATCAATCCAAACTCCTAACAATTTCAATCAGTGAACACAAATAGAAAAAAGAATAATCAAGGAAAAAAGTTGATAAGATTACCACGTAGCAATGTCACTTGTTAGTTTGATTATCATATTTCTAGATTAGTAGTTACAGTAAATATGTTTAATTAAGGCTTGTGAGTGTATATATATATATATAATGGGTAGCAGGAGCGGGGAGGGGAGGGGCGGGGGCGAGGCGGGGGTAAGGGTAAGTTCATCCCCGTACGGGTTTATACGGGTATTCCCGTATACGTTCACCGTCCAATACGTATAGTCCATCCCCTGTCCAAACAGGGCGAGTTTGGACGAATACCCGCTTTTTCCCGGTCCATTGCCATCCCTAGGATTGACCCAGTTAAATTTGGGCTCGTCATAAATAAAAGGGGTTTAGGGAGGCCGGTACCTCACAAAAAACTTAATAGGATAAAAATACACTTTTTAAAATAATTGAGATAGAAGTACATATGCTAAAAAAAAGTCATAAAAACCCTTTTACCCTTACCATAAATAGTATATACCTAATTGAATGTGAGACTTTCNGTTTAAAGTGTCATTGGACCACAAAAAGAGAAACATAACTATTAGAGAAAAAGGAAGAAAAGAAAAATAAAATTGAACTAAGAAAACGATAGCACTACACTTGAAGTTTGCTAGAAGAATTTTTACTATTACAATTCATATTACAGCCATAAAGTATTAAAAGATGAAAACTTAAAATTTTGCTAATTCAATAATTCTTTCAATTTCTTAGTTCACTCTAACAGAGAAACTCATCAACCTCCATTCACAATATTTCTATCCACAATGAAATGCAAAACTATCTTACTCTCTCTTATCTGTTTTTAGAGCATGATCAATCCAAACTCCTAACAATTTCAATCAGTGAACACAAATAGAAAAAAGAATAATCAAGGAAAAAAGTTGATAAGATTACCACGTAGCAATGTCACTTGTTAGTTTGATTATCATATTTCTAGATTAGTAGTTACAGTAAATATGTTTAATTAAGGCTTGTGAGTGTATATATATATATATAATGGGTAGCAGGAGCGGGGAGGGGAGGGGCGGGGGCGAGGCGGGGGTAAGGGTAAGTTCATCCCCGTACGGGTTTATACGGGTATTCCCGTATACGTTCACCGTCCAATACGTATAGTCCATCCCCTGTCCAAACAGGGCGAGTTTGGACGAATACCCGCTTTTTCCCGGTCCATTGCCATCCCTAGGATTGACCCAGTTAAATTTGGGCTCGTCATAAATAAAAGGGGTTTAGGGAGGCCGGTACCTCACAAAAAACTTAATAGGATAAAAATACACTTTTTAAAATAATTGAGATAGAAGTACATATGCTAAAAAAAAGTCATAAAAACCCTTTTACCCTTACCATAAATAGTATATACCTAATTGAATGTGAGACTTTCAATATTAAAATGTGAGACTTTTAAAATTCCTTTTGATATTTGTGTATCATTTGAATTTTAAAATTTTATATATATATATATATATATATATATATATATATATATATATATATATATACATACACACACACACGTAATATAGTGACATCAAATAGTGACACGTTCAACAAAAAAATAATAACATCAAACAGTGACACGCTCAACAAAAAAAGAGTAACATTAAACAGTAACATACTCAACTTTTTTTGTTTAGTGTATTACTATTTTTTTGTTGAGCGTGTCACTGTTTGATGTTATTCTTTTTTTGTTAAGCATATCGTTGTTTGATATTACTAGTTTTTGTTGAGCGTGTCACTGTATTACCTGTGTGTATGTATATGTGTGTGTGTGTGCGCGCGTATATATATATTAAAAGGAATCTTGAAAATTCAAATAATACACAAATATCAAAAGGAATCTTGAAAGTCTCACATTTAAATAGATATGCATTATTTATGATAGGGGTAATTATAGAATACATTTTAGAAAGCATTTGAAAATGTTTTAAAATGTGTACTTATTGACAACTATTTGATGAAAATTTTTTTTTAAAAAAGATAAGTTTAAAGGTGGTATTTAAAGTCAAATAAGTTTTGAAAAAGATACTCACATCCCATTATCTCTAAATAAAAATTTTCAAATAATTAAATCGTAATTTTAAAATTGGATTTAGTTTAAAATTTGTTAGACACCGATTTACAAACGAATCACAAAGACCGAACATAAACTTGGCTCACTCGATACAACTGACAAGTGTATTCAAGATGGAGTTTAAGAAATTGAAGTTATAGTTGGAGAGGTGCAAGAGATAGAGAGAGAGAGATTAATGACATGTGATGTGCCTTAATTGGAGGAAAATATTGAATTTATATTTAATAATTAAAAAAACTAAAATTTTAGAAAAATTGAGAGTGAAGCTTCTCAATCATCATCTCTTATAAAATATTATATTTTTTATTAATGTTACGTATACCAAAATTATACACAAAATTATTATCAATTGTTGAATCAATGGGATCCATTATCGGCCGATGACAGACAATAATTTAGCACACATAAAATTATCCTATTTTTTTATCCAATTCTCTTGTTGGTGAATTATTCATCATTAATGAGTGATGGTTTACTTATACATAATGAATTTTACTTAAATGCATAATTGGTAATTGGTTAAACAAAATTAAATTATATATATTAAATGCAAATGTGAGGGGTTAATGGGTTATCCATTAACGGGCTCATCATAACAAGGATTGGGCCTTGAAGAGAAAGGCCTACTCAGATATTGGGCTTGAGTTGGTCGTACTTCACATGGCCTAATTGGGGCCGATTCTTGTGTCTTAATTTAGACTCCTTAATGAATCGGATTTTAATTCAAATTTGATCCGAATTTGACTATTTGGATATAAATTAATTTTGTTTACAGATAAATCAAACTCAAATTCGAATTTACTATCTTATATTTCACGAGTTTGAATTTTGATATACATGTATTTAATTCTAACATGTTTCAATCTAAAATATGTATATGTTTTTATCTAAATATTAAAGATATTAAATGATTATTTGAAAAAAATAATTAAAATTTAGATATAATTTATTTAGTTATTCAAAGTTGATCAATTTTTTTGTATCAAATTTCATATTGTTAACGAATTCGGATATGAACTGTCAAATAATCAATTCAAATTCGAGTCGAATCTTTAGAATCGAA